GCAATGCTTCGGGGAAGGCCTGTTTTTATTCCGGCATGACCATGTCCCAGCGCACAAAGCAAGGTCTATAAAGACATACAGTAGTTAGTAGGGCTGGGTAAAAAAATTGTGATATCTCGATTATAATCGGTTCTCATTTAATGAAACAATATCGATTCTTAAATCCTAAGAATCGATTAGTCTAGCCTGTTTTCAGTTAATGGGTGAAACATTGATGGGCACCTCCCATTCAATAAATCACAATAAGCATTGTGCTTTGGTAATTTTAATATGAAACAGATTTCAAATTATGTTCATTGAATTGCAGTATTCAAACAATAAATGCCGTTTTGATGCTGTGGAGTGATCGCTGTAGCGCGGCGCGCCTACAATAAAAGCGGTAGCGCGAGGTGCACGTGAACTGATCATCTCCTCCACATGGCAATGCTTCGGGGAAGGCCTGTTTTTATTCCGGCATGACCATGTCCCAGCGCACAAAGCAAGGTCTATAAAGACATACAGTAGTTAGTAGGGCTGGGTAAAAAAATTGTGATATCTCGATTATAATCGGTTCTCATTTAATGAAACAATATCGATTCTTAAATCCTAAGAATCGATTAGTCTAGCCTGTTTTCAGTTAATGGGTGGAACATTGATGGGCACCTCCCATTCAATAAATCACAATAAGCATTGTGCTTTGGTAATTTTAATATGAAACAGATTTCAAATTATGTTCATTGTATTGCAGTATTCAAACAATAAATGCCGTTTTGATGCTGTGGAGTGATCGCTGTAGCGCCTACAATAAAAGCGGTAGCGCGAGGTGCACGTGAACTGATCATCTCCTCCACATTAATACCAATTTCAGCACAAAATAAACATGACTAAACATCCGAAGGTAAGTTAAAAGAAAGAGTACAAGTTTACAATCCATATCCTGGCTCATGTATTCACTCAATCAGTGTTTCCGACGTCAAAATAACGGCTTGTAAACAATATCACGTAACGTCACATTTACCTCCGTGAAAAAAACAAACATGACTAAACATCCGAAGGTAAGTTAAAAGAAAGAGTACAAGTTTACAATCCATATCCTGGCTCATGTATTCACTCAATCAGTGTTTCCGACGTCAAAATAACGGCTTGTAAACAATATCACGTAACGTCACATTTACCTCCGTGAAAAAAACCGTATTCGGTGACCATAACCTCATTGGTCAGCTAGAAAAATAAACTGTAGAGAGGAGCATTTTGCTAAATATATGCACCATATAATATATTCATTATAAATTTTACTGTTCTTCAATGTTTAATTAATATTTTATGACAGCCATCATTTAAATGTTTATATTTAAAAAAACTAATTGAAGTATAAATATTATTATGTAATTGTAACTTTTATTATAAAAACTTCATTAAGTGTAATTTAAGCAGTTATATGAATAGCCTAAAAAATCAGTCAGTTTTAACCTTCAATATTATAGTAATGTAGTACCAACTGACTCTCATGTATATTTTACAGCATTAGTTAAGAGATTTTTTTTCCATGAGAAAATTTTGCATGTGTACCAGATATATATCCAAAATAATCGATATTGAATTGAATCGCAAGCTTGTGAATGAGAATCAAATCGAATCGTGAAATTTGTGTCAAAACCCAGCCCTAGTAGTTAGATGAGTTTGGTTTGGAAGAACTTGACTTCCCCACACAGAGCCCTGATCTCAACCCCATCGGAACACCTATGAGATACATTGGAACGGAGATGGCGAACCAGGCCTTCTTGTTGAGCATCAGTGCTTGAAATCACAAATACTGTGCTGGATAAATGGGCAAAAGTTCCAACAGAAACACTCCAAAATCTTTTGGATAACCCTCCCAGAAGAGTGGAAGCTGTTATAGCTGCAATGGAGGGACCAACTCCATATTAATGTCTATATTAATGTCTATGAATTTAGAAATGCAACATCAATAATGTCCTTTTTGGTGTAATGGTCCGGTGTCCCGGCCTAGATGATGTCACCCAAAATAGAAGTTGTTGAGCAAAGTGGCACAAAGATGAAGAAGAAGGTTTATAAAGTCTTTAATCCAACTCACAGGTAATAAAACACACAGGGTAGTATTAACGCAGACGCGTCCAGACAAACTAGAACTGAACACACAGGAACTTAAATACACAGACCAAACAAGGATAAGTAACTACATACACCTGAACAGAATAACACAATTATAGTCAAACCAAAATTTATTCAGACACCTTCAACATTTCACACATTATCACAGTTTTTTCGCTGTAGTTTAGAAAATGGTAATAAAATATGACAAGAGTTAAACTGTGTCAGAACAAATTAATCTTGATAATGTCAGATAACACTTAAGCAAAACAGGGTCAGGTCAAAGTGTCAGAATAATTTTTGGTCCCAAATGTTTATCAATTTTACTGGTAGTCCACTGTATGAGGATTTTTTGGATATGTCACAGGTTGCTTTATTTTGCTTTCCTCACTTACATAAATTAACTATAGTGTTCTGCACCCACTAGTAAAAAAAATATCAAAAATTATATCTGGTATCTGAATAATTATTGGTTTGACTGTAACTCAATGAAATATATGAGGAAAACAAAGTCCAAAATGAATGACGTGACAACTTTGTAAATGAATAAAAATATTAAGATCAATTACTAATTTATGTTACAATATTATATATTGATAATTACATTTAATTCATAAACTAATGTTAACAGAAGCAACTTTACATTTGAAAAATATATTAGTAACTGTTGAAATTTACACACTTTAACAAGGAACAATACTTCAGCTTGAAGTTTTGTTTCAAATGCACTCTTATTGTAAAGTGTTAACATCAAAACCGATCAATTGGTCGACCTCTACTGAACAGTCATATACAAGAAGTTCAGAAACATAATACAGTAGTTATAGACAGTTTCATGTTGACGTTAAATGAGATGCCCTTCTTCTGCTCATCTGCCATTATTAGCTTGACCTGCAGAAAGCCCATCATGCTTTGCGATTGACTTTTTGGTGGCTGTGTTTTAAATGTTTTGTTTGTAGGAAACCCTATATGAAGTAATCAGAGTCCACAAAACGAACTGGCTTTTGTAGTAAAAGTGATACTGATCTCTGTAACATAATCCAATACAGATCTAGGAGTATCACATTCCATGGGGAGTTTTGAAGGCGCTCACATTCCACTGATACTTTGCTGGTAGAAAAGGTAAAACTGAGAAGACCTTGCATAGACAGAGCAAACCTGAAAGAACAACCTGAAAACCGTACACAGGCATATACACATGTATAACTTCCAGTATGGGTGACGATTGTAGGTGAACTCCTTACATCGGATGTGAGGTATTTGTGAGTAGTTACTCAGCGCAGGGCGGGTTGGCACTGTCAGTCAAGGCGGCAGGGTGCCAGAAGGTACAGCAGTGGGCGTGTGATTTCCCAAACGCTGCTCCCACACACTGAAGAACACATTTACTTCTTACAGAAAACACTTGGGTTCCCGTTCTAGTCATCACCAACTGTCCTTATCAGCGCTTCACTCAGAACAGCTGGGGAAATGCTCATATTCATTAGAGAAGGAGGAATTGTCAACCACACAGCAGTGCAAAGTGAGTGCTTTAGGCTTTTGACGGGAGGATTATTTGTTCAAATCATGACTTTAAACTTTACCAATCGCTATATCAATGACAATGTCATGTGTTTAAAACTACAGCACTGTTTTTTGTCTTCTGTAGTGTTATTGAGGAATAATTTATTGAGCTGCTGTGTAAAGTTTTGATTAGATGCTCTATGTGGTGTGATGTTAGAACTGGCTGAAGTGAACTTCTTGCAAAGTGCTTGTTCTCTGATTCATGTTTTTCCTTCTTTTACCCACCTGTTGTCAGGGCAACTCTTTACACTGTATTAAGTTGTTTACTTTCTCTTAACATTAATTCTGTGAATATAAATTTCCAATAGTCTACTAGTATGTGTTTTTAATGGCTAATGTTGATACCTAGAGAGCAGACTGGCCAAAGTTAATGACAGTTGAGACAAAAAAAAAAGTAAAAAAATCAAACACTCACTTTATTTTTTATTTATTTATTTTATTAGTATTGTTTATTTTTTTATTTCGTTTTTTTAAACTAAACAAACATGGCCTTAATAGAAAATGTGGTAACACTTTAGTATAGGGTCCAATTCCCACTATTAACTAGTTGCTTATTAGCATGCCTATTATTAACATATTGGCTGTTTATTACCCCATACCTAAACTTAACAATACCTTACTAACTATTAGTAAGCAGCATAGTACGAGTTTATTGAGGCAAACGTTGTAGTTAATGGTTTGTTAATAGCGAAAATTGGACTTTAAAATAAAATGTGACCGAAAATGTTTATTATTTGTTGACAAGACTGTCATTGCATTTGGAATGGAGATAATAAATAATACCAAGTAATGTTGGCGGACATTGGTATTTCAGTCAATTTTAATTTAAGTTTGACATGAAAGTGCTTTTATATATGCATTAGTGACCTTGTGAAGACTATTTACACACACAAAAAAAGATTGCAATTTATTGTCCACTTTTGACTTTCTACTAACTATAAGTAACTGCAACTACATGTCAATTAACTCTTAGTACTTTGCAACTACCTGCCAACTAACTCTCATTAGAGTATTAGTAGACTTATATTAGGGTTATTAGAATAAGTTGACATGTACTTGCAGAGTTACTTATAGTCAGTAGAATGTTTTTGGGGAGCAACAAAATGAAGTGTTAGTAGATATTAAGCAGACAGTCTACTAATACTCTAATGACTGCTATAATACAATATTCTTTCATTTGAATAAAATATTTTATATATATTTTTAAAGTATTAAATTAACTACTGTATCCAATATTTGCATTTTCAGACTAATAAAATCAATTTAAAAACCTGTTCACTCATTTACTGTAGATATGGTCAGTGATACATGCCTTCTTATGGTGTTGTTTGTGTGGATGTGTTGTGTAGGTCATCTCAGACCTGGAGTCATGGAATGAGGAGCTGTCCCAGCAGATGAATGAGTTTGACACTGAGGATCTGACGCTAGCTGAGCAGAGACTGCAGCATCATGCCGATAAAGCGCTCACCATGAACAACCTCACCTTCCACGTCATACACCAGGGACAGGAACTCCTGCAGTACGTCACAGAAGTTCAGGCCTCAGGTGAGCACAGATCCAAACACTTATATACAATGATAAGAAGTTCTGCTAAAAGTCACTCTATTGAAATTTAAAGCTGTACATGCACTAACAAAAAAGTACCAGAATGTACCAATATACAGAGTTCTGGCATGAAACTCTAGATGGCGCAGTCCGATAAGTCTAACTCAATCTGACCTAATGACATCATTATCACATGGCACAGCTGATTGGTTCTCTCCTGTATCGGTAGCCAATGAGCTCGCTGTTCAACATTCAAATATATGACTTGTGTTTGCTGTAGCAGTTGCAGCTTGCTTCAGAAAGCCTCCACCTTCCCCAGCTCCACCTGTATAGATCTGCTACGAGGTGATTCATGTATGCTATATGGGGGTTATTTCATGTATGTTATATTTGCAGCAGCAATATTTCGTACATGCTTACAGCAGCATGTTGTGGATGTATTGGCAGTAGTAAGTCTCGGTACTTGCTCTGCCGCAGCAGCAGCGTAGCAGATCTATTCCGCCAAGACCAAATACATAAAAATATATATAAAAATTAAAAACCACATAACAAAATTACTAAAAAAGTGTCAATAGTTTAGATATATGAAGTACATCTAACATAGAAGTCACTTTCAAAACAAGTAGCTTTCTATTGGTCAATGCAACGAACTTGCATGACCAACTGAGCCCATCACAAAATTTGCATGGGGAATTTATTTTTTACCCTCACATGAAATTCCCGATTGCTTGGATTCCTATTAAAATGACTGGATTTTGCTGCCGAAAGTTCACAGAGCACAGTGAATGTAACTGCACTTTGATAGTGTCAATGTTTTGAAGTACCGCTACAGTACTTTTTTGTAAGGGTGCACTCACAAAAGTCCACTTGCAGTAGTTACAATTTGTCAGGTGACTGTGTATTCTATCCAACATGCACACACAAGCAGTATGTCACTAAATCAAGATATCTGATCCATAGCACGTGTAAATGTTTTCTTGTGAGCTGATAATGCTTTTCAGATCTGTGCACAAGCTGCAGAGAAACAGTGCATGTTTTTGTATGATGTTTTTGAAAGCCAACTTTTGAGGTCACGAGATCACTGTCATGAGGCATCAAATATGTGTGTGTGTTAGTGTGTCAGTCCAGAGCAGGCTTAAGGGGGGAGGAGTGGATGCAGCTAAACGCTAAACTCTAAAACCAAACACATCAGGTCCATCCAGGCAACCAGCAGCCCTCCCTTCCTCCCACCTGGCCCTGTAATCCTGTAGACTCACACTGCCTAGCAAAATCACTGGTCACACACACACACACACACAAGATTTGACATCTGACAGCACGCACAGATAGCAGAGAGCAAAACGAGTCCTCATTTTACTAGCGTCCTTTTGTGGAGGCACAGATACAAAGCAAAACTGGAGTACTCGCAGAGCTTTAGCCCAATGCAGCTCTGGGCTACGGGTATAAAATGTGAGTATGTCTGTGTGTGTGTGATAACATGTGTGCTAACAATGCTAAGACACAGGCATCTGCACTTCTGTACATGCTATTTGTGTTAACTATGTATAACTATATAACTATGGGTCAGTTATCAATTTTTATTGTTGGTTTAGTTTTTCTTGATTTAAACAAAAGTCATGCTACTTCTAGCGATTCTGACTTTAAAGACAGTATGAAATCAAATTTGATCCCATTTACTTTCTGCATGCATATTGCAGGTTGCATTGTGCACGATTCATCAGTGCACATTATTCTAAAGAAAATGTAGTTTAGGGAACGATTCTCACTATTAACTAGTTGCTTGTTAGCATGCATAGTATTAGGATATTGGCTATTTATTAGCACTTATAAAGCACATATTAATGCCTCATTCTGCATGATCATATTTTAGATCCCTTAATCCTACCCCATACCTAAATTTAAAGGTAGGGTAGGTGATTTCGGAGAGGCTAGCAATAGCAAGTTAGCTTTGAAAGCAAGATCCTACCCTCCCTGCACTGGTGGAGGGTTGAATGCAATGCTCTCATATTTCTTTCAATGGTGAGAAATCATTACAGTACAAAGTGCATAAAATTACAATAATAATGCCTTCCATTCTCACTTGGTCTGCAATAGCGTAATGGAACTTGGGAACTAGCGTAATGGAGCTGATAACGTGAACAGAATGCGCAGACGTATGCAAATGCATATGTTGACAGTCAGGTAGAACAGCCTATAGTAGCCCTTGGACCGAGGGATATGATTACACAAACATTTAATGGTTCTACACCTTCCACAGACAATATTAATACATATAAATACATTTAGACCACTTAACTTGGTGATTGCTATCGGGATGTGAAGAGACTTTCAACCAGCATAACAAAAAAATGTTTTTTAACCAAATCAACTACCCTGCCTTTAACAACTAACTTACTAACTATTAATAAGCAACAAATTAGGAATTTATTGAGGCAAAAGTCATAGTTAGTTAATAGTGAAAACTGATCCCCAAACTAAAGTGTGACCAGAACTGATCAGTTTTTTTTTGTCCATACAGTGGAAGTCAATGGAAAGCAAAACCTGTCACCAACATTTTTCAAAAATTCTTCTTTTTGTGTTTCACTGAAGAATGAAAATCAAATAGGTTTGGAACAACATGAGGGTGAATAAAAGATGACAGAATTGTCATTTATGGGTAAACTATCTTTTTAAGCTGGGATTGGAGAAATATGAAAAATGATTAGGGTGATAATTCACCTGATTCTTTGTGAAAATCCCATAATTTAATTAGAGTTCAGTTCTAACTCATATTCAGAAATAAATCAAATATGTGTGATCCTCGGCTTCTCTCCTTTAATGGTTATTGTGGCCTCTCTAATCCCTGTGTTCTTTAATCGGGTCTTTGTCTTGTCCAATTGCTGTCTTGGCAAAAATCACAGGCTGAATAAAGTGTTTGTACTAAAGTCTTCTTATGGATTACCAACATATCCTGCCTTTGCATGCAATACTGTTTCTTGTTCATCCAGTTGGGATTTTCTTTTTTGTGAAAAACCTTTCTGAAGTCAGATGTTTTTATCTAAAGTCAAACTTTTAGGGTAAAACACTGGAAATAATATATATATATATATATATATACACACACACACACACAAACACACATGTATGATATATTTTAATTTAAATACATCAAATACTACAATGGTGTGTAAATGTGTTGCAAATTTATAATATATATAATTATTTTTGTCATATTACCTTAATGAAAATGTGTTTTTGTTTGCTGGTTTGTTTTTTGCATTATGATAATAAGAATTGAATAGGAACTTATGCTTAATTGTCATGAATATAATGTCACAGTGCAAAAAAAGTTAATATTTAATATAATATAAACATCTGTTCTCCAAATCTCTTGTCATTAATCCCTTGTCAAATCACTAAGTCGATTATGACAAAAGCTTGATTTATTTGTGTCAGGGAAGATTATTTACACCCTTCTGTTACACCTCTACATTTCTCTGTTTCGCTGTGTTTCTCTTTCTCTGTCAAGGTGTGGAGTTGTTGTGCGACCGTGATGTTGACATGGCGACGCGGGTGCAGGACCTGTTGGATTTCCTGCATGAGAAACAGCAGGAGCTGGACGCAGCCGCAGAGCAGCACAGGAGACACCTGGAGCAGTGCGTGCAGCTCCGCCACTTACAGGCCGAGGTCAAACAGGTAACATCTGACTGTCTGTCTCTCTACAGTCTGTCTACCCATCCAGCAATGCAAGAATCATTCAGGCACATGCATACATGCTCATGTAAGCATGGACTTAAATTTCAGATCATGATACAGCTTTGTCAGCGAAGAACAAAACAACCACTGTGTGATGTGTTCTAACACACCTCCATATTAATAAGTGTCATGATTAATTATGCAATAGAGATTTTATTTTAGAGGTGGGAATTTCCTGAGCAGTGACTCATGGTTAGTGAATGTAGGCCAAACTGAGGTTGAAAATTAGACATTACCTTGTACTTTAATACCTCTGACGCCTTGTTGCATATCTTTGGTTTATTACATTGTCACACAATTTAGCTTTTTGTGATGTAACTGTGATAGATTGTCTTCCTCCAGTAAACAATGATAATTAAGATCATAATATTTTAGGCAGTGGCCTTTCTTTCACAAACAATGATACATGTAGGGTTCAATGGGGCTAAAGGCACACTTTAAGGAAAATGTGTATTTTTTTTTCAGTACTTCCATAATGTATGATGTCAGAATTTTTTTAATTTTTTTTACATTGATGGAACAACACATTTTGTGGGGAAAGGAATCATAAAAGTAGTTTGTTTCGTTTAAAAATCATTTAAAAAATGTGATTAGAGATGGCATAGAGGTCCTTTTACCCAACAACCAGGGTAAATGCATTTACATTTCGTAAATCTCATAAATTTAAATATGATGACTTTGTTATAAACATGGTGATTATCTCTAATGTAGACACCTAAATTTAATTTAACTTAATTTATTTTAATTGCAACTTTATTAATTACATTAACAATCATTATTACATTACATTATGGTCAAAAGATAATTTGTTAATATTCAAATACCTAAAAGCTTGATATTTTTATATTTACATATGCATTTGAAATACTAAATTACTATTAACTACTGATCTGTTAAGCATTATATAATGTTTGTTAACTATTTTTTAATATTGAGTGAAGTGCGGTGTTAATAGTTTTGAATAGCGGTTCTGACTGCATACAGGGGCTGATGGGAAACAGAGCAGTTTTATAGCCCTGGGCACGCTTAAAATCAGAAGGAAAAACTAGGCCAGGAGGAGCAGCTGGTAATCTCATTTCATCCTCTCATTTATTTATTTTATTGTTTATATTTTAATTTTTGTCTGGACTGCTCTAGAGGAAAAGAGTGATTAGAGATGTCGAGGAGCTGGGATGCCCGTGTTGTTTAAGGTCTGACATGGCCACAGAGTATTTGAGTGGGTGTGTGGTGGTTAGTAAACATGTTATCATGTATTTGGTTTTATAGTGAAAATGTGTGTGTGTGTGTGTGTGTGGCAGTTTTCAGTCTGTTTATTTACATTTATGGAAGGAACATAGTTGTGTTATTTGTGACTGGCAGTGTATCAGCACTAAAGCAGGTGTGTAAAGTGTGAGTCAGTGTGTCAGGAGATGGTGTGGAATTTAGACCTGAAGGTGGAGTCAAAGAACACATCTGTCAGTATTAAATATGTTCACTTTCCCCACTGATGCAACCCAACAGTTAACAGCACACCATATGCTTACATGTCTCAACTTTCATGAAACAGTGCTTTTTGATTTAGTGTAAAAGGCAGTACTTACTTTCTGTACAGTGGCAGTGGGTGAACAGGTTGGTGGTATTGCCCCCTTTTGCACTCACTGTTGATTGGCAAGTCCTGCAGACTGAGGTGATTAACAAGCCACTATCGCGGAATCCAAATACGTCTCACACTGGCGAGCTCATTTTTTATCCGATGCCATTCTTTTGCTCGGCAGTAGTACCTGCGCTCTGTGTCTTTTCTGTTTTATGATAAGTGTCAAACAGCATTAAGGTGCAATACCTCCAGCTACATTGGGATGTCAGCCAGATAGTTAGTGGTAGTTGTTCACTTTTAAATATCATATTATTACTGATATATTGCAACACCCCTAATTGACACAATAACGATATTTCATTATTTAAATCATGATTATCATCGATACTGGTATACAGCGACACCCCTACTGTGAAGAACTTTTCTTTCTAAAAATGAGAGTATGTTTACATAGATAATGTGTATGTGTGTTTCAGGTGCTGGGTTGGATCCGTAACGGGGAGTCAATGCTTAATGCAGGTCTCATCACAGCCAGCTCTCTACAGGAGGCAGAACAGTTACAGCGGGAACATGAGCAATTTCAGCATGCTATTGAGGTACCAAACAATCTTTTTTATTAGCATTTAAATGTGGATGTTCCATAGACATGCCAGTTTTGTTTTGTTTGTTATATTTTTTCTTATGCTAGTCTTTTTTTTGCTCCAGAAATAACTGACTTATTCAATATTAGTTGTTTTATATTTCTTTTTGCAGTTGCCTCTTTCAGACATCTATATGTAAATCATAAAAAAATAAATAATAATAAAGGCCCTCATGATGGCCACAGTTTTTCTTGTCAAATGAATAACTCCACTCACTTTTCAAAGTGAGGTTTAAGGCCAAAAGAGAAAGGAAAAATGGTTTTCCATGGCATGGACCATTTTTTTAAAATGTCCTGCTCATTTTCGCTTTCTCTTCTAATTTTTCACTTTCTCTTTCATTTTGCTTATCTTTTCATTCAATGCAGAAAACCCATCAGAGTGCGCTGCAGGTGCAGCAGAAGGCAGAGGCTCTGCTACAGGCCAATCACTACGACATGGACATGATCCGTGACTGCGCAGAGAAGGTGGCGTCTCACTGGCAGCAGCTCATGCTGAAGATGGAAGACCGCCTCAAACTGGTCAATGCCTCAGTGGCTTTCTACAAGACATCAGAGCAGGTCAGTGAGCTTGTCTTAATAGTGATTCTGTCATTTTTGACCTCTTGTTCATTTAGCACAACAAGTGGTAGACATTTTGAAGACTTTGATCATAATTATTTTGCCTTGGCGATTTGGGATTTCCTTAATGTGATAAACAGTTTTTTTCCAAAGACCATAGATATACAAAGACAGTTCAGTCCTATTACTTATGAATGGGAGAAACTGCAACATGCGGGGAATAGTCCCACATTCTAAATGAAGGAGCAAATCACTGAATGGTAAAGTCGTTGCATCACTGCAACTGCCGTTAGAAGCTCCGGTTCCCATAGAAACCTGAGACTTGCGCTTATGACTGCACATGTGCATTGGCTGGTCTAGCCTGAAAAAAAGATTTTTAATGCTATTTGAGCATTCATGGAGCAGTTAATTTCAGATTTTGTTGCTGATTTGAAATATGTCATTTAATTGTGAGTTCAGAAGGCAGTTTTTGGGATTTCCAGATTCTACCATTCATTTAGATAGGACTTGGTCTTGGATGCCCGAAATATTTATTAAAGTGCCCCTATTATGGGTAATGAAAGGTTCAAACTTTGGGTTTGGTAGTCCCCAACAACAGGTTGACATGCATGTTTTTATCTCTTCACTTTTGGCTTTTTATCTCATAATTATAGTATTTCATAATTTAGATTTTTTTTTTTATGTGGTGGAAATAGGCTTCTCTATTACATATCCAGGTTTGTTTTTGCTTATATTTCTTATGTATAACGACATGTGTGTATTCTGCAGGTGTGTAGTGTGCTGGAAAGTTTAGAGCAGGAATACAAACGAGAGGAAGACTGGTGTGGAGGGATTGATAAACTGGGACCAAACTCCGAGTCTGATCACGTGATGCCCATGATCAGTAAACACCTGGAGCAGAAAGAGGCCTTCCTCAAGGTACCTAGCGCATACACACATGCACACACATACAGGTTCTCAAGTATCATTCCGATCGTGACATTAAAAATTTGGTGCAAATTTAATCATAACTGACCCTTTTTTTTCTGAAGGCATGCACACTAGCAAGACGCAATGCTGATGTCTTCCTCAAGTACTTACACAGAAACAGCGTGAATATGCCGGGAATGCTTGCACATGTCAAGGCCCCTGAACAACAAGTCAAGAGTAAGACTACTTTTAAAAAAAGCCCTTTTATGACTGGTTTAAAGGACCAAATATTAAGCCAAATTTTAGTTTGAAGTGAACCATTATTTGCTATTTGATTAGCGTTATTATATGATTATCATGTTCTGTGTTTCTGATTCTGTCTCTGTGTCCTGCAGACATCCTGAATGAGTTGCTGCAGCGGGAGAACCGGGTTCTGCACTTCTGGACCATGAGGAAGAGAAGGCTTGACCAGTGTCAGCAGTATGTGGTGTTTGAACGCAGCGCTAAACAGGTCAGTTCTGGTTTAATCCAGGTCTGAACCAGTAAAAAGGCAGAGCAGTGTACAGACGGTCTAGCAGAGCCTGCTTTTTGAATCATTTTATAGTCTGGTCCAAATTGTGTCTCGTTTTGTCAAGTAACTTAGACAAAAGTATCTCTTTGTGAAGAGGTGCACCTGAGATTGAAGCTTCCACGTTGATGGTTTGCCTTTCAACAAAGCAGTAACTTGATCTCATTATAAAAATGTCACCACACCATCTTCCTCGTACAGACAAAACCAAAATATAGTGCAAAATGTGATTGTAAGTATTGCTTTACAGAAAATAAAGAACAAAAAAGAAGTGAAAGATTTCCTTACAGCTTAAAGGGTTAGTTCACCCAAAAATGCTGTCATTAATTACTCACCCTCATGTCGTTCTAAACCTGTAAGACCTTCGTTCATCTTCGGAACACAAATTAAGATATTTTTGATGAATTCTGAGAGCTCTCTGACCCTCCCATAGACAGCAATGTAATTACCACGATCAAGGTCCAGAAATGTAGCAAGGAGATCGGTTAAAAAAATCAATGTGACATCAGTGGTTCAACCGTAATTTTACGAAGTTACGAGAATACTTTTTGTATGCAAAGAAAACAAAAATAACGACTTTATTCAACAATTCCTCTCCTCCGCGTCACCCTATAGCTCCATTTCGGAGAATATCCACTGAACGCAGATACGTTGTTTTCGTTCAAATCAAAGCGTAAACCACGTAGAAAACGTATCTGCGTGACGCAGCTGACACAGAATAGCATACACTGTTTACGTTCAGTGGATATTCTCTAAAATGGCACCAGGGTGACGCGGAGGAGACGAATTGTTGAATAAAGTCATTATTTTTGTTTTCTTTGCATACAAAAAGTATTCTCGTAGCTTCGTAAAATTACGGTTGAACTACTGATGTAACATTGATTTTTTTAACCCATCTCCTTGCTACGTTTCTGGACCTTGATCGTGGTAATTACATTGCTGTCTATGGGAGGGTCAGAGAGCTCTCAGAATTAATCAAAAATATCTTAATTTGTGTTCCGAAGATGAACGAAGGTCTTACGGGTTTAGAACGACATGAGGGTGAGTAATTAATGACAGGATTTTCATTTTTGGGTGAACTAACCCTTTAAGGTTTATGCTTGCCATTAATTTGAGCAACTCATCAAAAATAAGACATATTAATAGTAAAGTCATGTCCCTTCTTTAGAAATATTCCTGCTTTAGGGAATGCTAAAAGGGATTAGAAAGGAAGAAAATAACGAGTTAGGCTTTAACATGCCGTCCTGAAAACAACTTAAGGAAATTGGAGGGAATAGGAGAATAATTTACTGGATATTGTTATATATTAACAGCAACAGTAATAATAATAATGTTTATTTATTTTTATTTATTAAATGACCAGACTGCAAAAACACTATCTCTGTTGACAGTTTTTAATTTTAGGACAAAAATGACAGACAATGATTTCTAGCATGACCTCTGGCTGGTATATACTTAAATACAAATTTGTATAAGCAAATATGGATACATATACTGTACATACTAATGGAAAGGTCATTTCAACAGATGTAATTAGTCACACATCATTAATGATAGTGTTGCATTTCCATCCTTTTGGAAATAATAAGGTCTGACACAGTGGGAAAGCATGGTGCTACAAACACCAAGGTCACGGTTTCAGTTCCCAGGAATGAGAAATTCTGCCGTTGCATTGCCATATTTGTGTGCGGTATGCATCATAGAGTGCATACGAGTGTCATCTCTTAAATTTCAAGAAAGAGGGTAGGAAAATATAATTTCTTCACTTTCATCAAACATCAGTTTCGCTTACAGAATTTTGTTCTTCAAACCCTACTGTCTATTTGAGATGAAATTATTTTATGTCATACACAATTGACTAGAAGGCCTCAACAAGTATTTCTGGAGTCTCAAATAACAGAACCACGTCAGGTCAAGCATTCTGCTATAGAAACCTGAAAGAGGATCAACTGTCATGTATCACATGCTTGAAAAAAAAGTGTACTGTAAATTTTGTAGCTCTTATTAGCACTTCATTTATATTGTTGCCCTATTATGATGAAAAAATAACTGAAAAGGTTCTCCTAATGCACAAGTTGTGTAAATTGTGTCTGCTGCATAATTACAGTGTAGGGTTTCAGGAAGTCTGTGATACTGGATGGAGTTTCTGTCTTCGTTCTGTGTTTAAATGCTTAGTAATTGAGAGGAAGGACTGTAGTTTGACCACACAGTGCTCTGCTGCAGTACTCACAGTCTTGTGTCCTGATGTTCCCCAGACCCTGTAATGAGGGTGGCCCACAAAGTTCCTCTTTGACACACAGAAACATTTTTATCAGTGAAAATTAGTGGCAAACCTGCACACAATGCAACCTGTTCTAAAAAAATTGATATGAAAATGTTGATAGAGATAGAGCACTTTTAGAGATCTCACTCCCTCTTGTGGACACATGAGAGTATAACATATACACATTTATTCCCACACACTGGCTTTTTGTTGATATCCTTGTCTGGACTTCCCTTTTACAGCTATTGTTAATAAAAGCTAATTATAAATTCTATAAACTAAACCTAACCTTGAAGACATTGTTGTGTCCCTTTACTGCTTTTCTGTTGAGGCTATTTTCAAAAACTTTGCACCCACAAGATTAGAAAAACAACAACAAAAACACATGCACACATTCACATTTTATCCTCTAAGCGTCTTATTTTTTCTTGTCATTTTGTCTGGTTCTGCAGGCTTTGGAGTGGATCCATGATACAGGAGAGTTTTACCTATCCACACACACCTCCACTGGCTCCACTATACACCACACACAGGAACTGCTGAAAGAACATGAGGAATTCCAGATTACAGCCAAGGTATGTCTCAATTAAGGGACATTTTGCTTTTCTTTTTTCCTAGATGCCTAGAAGCTGAATCAGAACGGTTGCACATCAACATTTAGACCATATTCTATTGTCCGTTTGTTGTCATCATTTACTCTTCCTTTCGTTGTTCCAAACCCAACGTTCTTTCGTCATTGCAATTGAAAAGAAGAATGTTTTCTTAATGTCTAGAGTGCTCTTTTACATTGTGAGAGTGATGCTGTCAAGCTCCAAAAATCACAAAAAGGCACCATAGTAGTAGCCCTGATGATTTTGCTAAGTCTTTTGGATTTTGCTAACTTTGTAATATGCTAACAAACAGGGTATTTATATTTTAGGTGACTAAAAAATTTAATTAATTAAAAAAAAAATGTGTTACTTGAAATGTAATAAACTTGAACTAAAAATAAAATGTATTAAAAAAATGTAAAAACGTATTTTATGTTAGTTGCTGAGGCAATATTTCTTATTTTTATTTAGAAAATATATTGGGGGGAAAATTGTCAAATAAAAATACAAAGCGTACAACATCACTAAAATAAAAACGAATTCAGGTAATATGCTAGCATATACAGTAGCTTGCTGAAAAACGTAATAAAAAGTTATTCTATGACTGTGATTGTCAGCATGTCGCAGGTTTGTCAACTCACCAGCAAATCACAATAGACCTCTCAGATTATGTTTACACTCTGATCTTTGCCTCTGTGGAATCAGTGCAGCTCTCTCTCTCTCTCTCCAGCAAACCAAAGAGCGGGTAAAGTTGTTGATCCAGCTGGCTGATGGTTTTTGTGAGAAGGGCCACTCCCATGCAAGCGAGATTCAGAAATGGATCGCCTCGGTGGACAAACGCTACCGTGACTTTTCCCTCCGCATGGACAAGTACCGTTCCTGCCTGGAGAAAGCGCTCGGCCTGTCCACTGACTCCAACAAAGCGGTGAGAGGGCTGTGAGAGTAGGTGTGTTGATGTGGCCTGCATGGCTGGAGTGTGGATGAACAAAACGTTTGCTGTAAGAGTCGTTAACCATGTTAATTTATGAAAGAAAGGTCATTTCTAACCATTAAAGCATTTCGTTTGGGGTTTCAGAGTAAAGATCTGCAGTTGGACATCATTCCAGCCAGTGCTCCTGGTGCAGAGGTCAAGTTCAGAGATGCCAACCATGAACTCAATGAGGAGAAGCGGAAATCGGCACGCAGAAAAGAGTATGTCTTTTAAACCTGATTATATGATATCAAGCCAAAAGCAGGAAGTGCTGAAAGGGCAGGGTTAATACTTCATCTGATGAAAGTCCAGCTTTAGTTACTTTGTGTTTTGAGGAAACACCCATAAATATGCATACTAAAGGAAACGTGTTTTAATTTTTGAGGTTTTTATACTAGATTGAAATCCCTCCCAGAGGTATTGTGCTTTCAAACAAATGTTGACAATAGGTCTCTGGTGCATTGCCCTGTTACCTCTCTCTTTTCAGGTTTATAATGGCGGAGCTCATTCAGACCGAGAAGACATATGTGAGAGACCTGCGGGAGTGTATGGATGTAAGTTCTGTTGTCACGGTTTGCTCCGTACGGACCGACATTTAGAGGGTGTGGTACACCAATGTCCACTTTGGACAGATCACAAAAGCCCTGTGCTATAAATGTATTCACTGCAGTACAGCCCAAGAACAATCCAGTTTCTCCAGGAATAGCTGCTGTTTGATCTCATGAAAAGATGGGTGTCATTAAAACACTGACCATGTTTACATGCATCATTTTTGAATCTCCACGTTTCCACAACTATAGGAATATTCATGCACTTTGGAATACTCATGTAATCATATTCCGAAAATAATGCATGTGCATTATTTTTCCTTCATTCTCTTCTGGGGTGAAAAAACTATCAGTGATTCATTTATTATGATGCATTTTCAGAATTTTGCACGGTAATTTAATCAGCTCATTTATTTTCATTAAGTGGGATTTATCTGTATATTTATGTTATGTTTAATGTGTGTTTAAAAAAAAAAGATCAATAGTCGTCAATAGTTTGACTTGATTGTTCTATCGTAGAAACCAGAATTAATTTTGTTTTGATATTTAAGCATAAACATTAATATTCGGTTTCAGTGCATATTCTGGATAATATGGTTTATGACCCAGAATTCTGATTAATACTGGTAGACAGCTAGAAAATGGAAAGGTGAAAATATTATCAAAACTGTAAAAACGTTCAAAATTGACCCTTTTTAATATCATCTTCTTGTTGTTTTCATAATCATCTTGATCAAATTACAGTACATTTGATATATATATAAATTATTAGAGAATGTTCTTCGCTTCAGAAATAATTTCCGCAGACATAATTGAAGATGCAGTTGAAGAAAAATCGTATTAACCAATAAAATCAGAGTTAACTATCCACAATCTGAACACATCCAGATAGATAAAATTCCTTATTTCCTATTTCAGAACAATGTTAACACTGAAATACAGGAGTTGTCTTTAAAAGTGTAATAGTATTAGCCTGTTATCACATTAATGGAAAAAATTCGAAGTGTGAGTGTGTGTGTTTCAGACATATCTGTGGGAGATGAGCAGTGGTGTGGAGGAGATTCCCCCAGGGATTGTCAACAAAGAGCATATCATTTTCGGCAACATGCAAGACCTATTAGAGTTCCATCACAAGTCAGTGAACCTTATAACCTGCGATTCGTATAATTATGTATTCCTTTACTTACCATTTTGATTACTTACTTACCATTTACTTAACATTAACATGCTTCTCTGTCCTTTTCTCAGTATTTTCCTTAAAGAACTGGAAAAATATGAGCAGCTTCCAGAGGAGTTGGGTCACTGTTTCGTCACATGGGTGAGTGTCAGTGTGCTAGAGATAATCTTATCAAGAAGTGCACTAGACTCATGTAACATTATATTGACATTAAATCAGATCATTAGAACACATATCTGGGTTGCACTGTATTTGACAGTACATGCAATTACAGTTTACATTCAAAGAAAGTACTATAAGAGTAATATAAGGTCACTTTTTAGACTTAAATGGGTTTAGTTTTAGGTTCAGGGTTAGTACCTTGTTATTATAGTAAGTACTGCACATAGTACATACATTAAGCTTCAAAGGTTTGGGAATAAATGCTGTTCTTTGTACTTTCTATTCATCAAAGAATTCTAAAAAAAAAAATTACTGTATATCGGTTTCCACAAAAATATTAAGCAGCATGATACTTTTCATCTGTGATGATAAAATGTTATTTCAGCAACAAATTAATGATTTTTTTAAGGATCATGTAACACTGAAGGCTGAAGTAAGGGCTGCTGAAAATTCACCGTTGCCATCGAAGGGAAAAAAACACATTTTACATTAAATAATAAAATAAAATTATTGTTGTTTTAATTGTAATATTTCACAATTTTAATGTCTTTCCTGTATTTTTGATCATATAAGGTTCCTGTTAACAGAAAGCAATGATTGAGTGCATATTGAAACAATTACAGCTATATTACACTATTTATGAAGCATCTCTTAAATCAGTGTTTATTTAAAGGGGTCATATGATGCGATTTCATGTTTTCCTTTCTCTTTGAAGTGTTACAAGCTCTTGGTGCGTAAAAAAGATCTGTAAAGTTGCAAAGACTAAAGTCTCAAATCCAAAGAGATATTCTTTATAAAAGTTAAGGGTCAACCACGCCTACCCAAAACGGCTCGTTCTAACACGCCCCCACATGTCTACGTCACTATGGGGAAATATTAGCATAATGCCGCCCAAATGTGCATGCAAAGAAAGAAGGTGTGGTTTCAGGAACAGCAGTAGTGTTGATGCAGCCATGTCAGGGAGACGCTGTGTGATTCAGTGCGAAAGCAAAAGCACTTTATTTGGCCCAATTCCGATTTTGCTATGACAATCTGGCGCTTCTGAATCAGCGACTGTAAGTATGTTTTGTTATTAGTTTAAGTATTTGCTATTGACTGTTCAAATTCTGAGTTTTGTGCAGCGCACAGTAATGCGTCGTGTGTGTGTGTGTGAGTGGAACAGGGTCACATCACAGGAGAGTGAACTGCCTGTCAGAAATCATAGCATGTCAGCTGTCTTAACCACGGCTTGTGTACTGCATCATCACTGTGTCTGTCACGCGACTCTGTTGCCCTTTCTCCAACTACGTGTTTGAGAGAGGCGGGGCATAGAGGACCTACAATAATGTACAGTATTTGAAAAATAATGTGTTTTTTGAACATTAAAGCATGTCAACATATTCCGTTACACCAAATACACAAAATAATGATCTTTAAAATAGCATCATATGACCCCTTTAATGATTTCTGATAACAGCTTGTCATTCTAAAAGAGACACCAGTTCTTAGAAGTGAAAAACAGAGCATCTTCTTTTTTTTTTGTATGCGTTTTATTTTTAGGCGGATAAGTTTCGGATGTATGTGAATTACTGTAAGAACAAGCCTGACTCCACCCAGCTGATTCTGGAACACGCGGGGACCTATTTTGATGTGAGTATTAAGCAAACTAATCATAAAATGCATATGATTGTGTGTAAGGACATACAATTCTGTGAAAGTATCCCTTTTACACCCTTTAATCAAGGAAGTTACATTTATTTATTCAGATTATGTAACACTTTTTGTGTGTATTTGACAGAATGTGGCTGTTATATAAATATGTATGTGACATTGTGTATTTGTCATAGTATTAGTGTGTGTGCGTGTGTATGTGTTGGAATAAATGTTTGTATGTGTGTATGTGTGTATGAGTGAGTCCGTGTATGGCTGCTATGGTCTGTTAATCATTTCTGTTCTTGAGCTGGTAATTGGAGGTCTTAGAGAGAGGGCACTTCCTGTGTGTCTGGGGGTGGGTGGGGGACCAGTGATGCCTCACTACTAAACTGTTGCCAGGCGATCAGAACAGATGGACTCTTCTTTTAGGACTGAGCATATCTGAGCTTAAGATCTGCTTTTGAAAAAGTGCTATCAAGAAGCTATTTAGAATGAAAAAGCTAAAGATAAATGGTTACTGATTGTTTTCCAGTATGTGTTTAAGGTGTTTGTGTGAAAGATGTTTTTTTTTTTATCATCAAAAGCTTAAGTGTGCTTGTATGTGTACAGGAAATCCAACAGAGACACAGGCTGGCTAATTCCTTATCATCATACCTTATTAAACCTGTTCAGAGGATCACCAAGTATCAGCTTCTGCTGAAGGTACTCAGCTGTGTACTATCACACATTAAATAAACTCAGCACAGTTCAGATTGTTAACCATAAAGATTCTACAAAAAAAGCAATAATCATATTTTTAGCATAGACTCAAAAAGACCAGATACAAACTAAATACAAACCCATCACACACTCAGAACAGTTCCATCCATCACAAACCCAGCATTGAGACTCAATGAAACTCAGCACAGTAACTACAGACCTTACTCAAAGCCAGCATAGACTAAATACAGGTCCATCACAATATTAGCACAGAATAAGCACAGACCTACTACAAAGCCTGCACTGAACCAGCACTGACCCATCACAAATCGAATTACAGACTAAACACAGACCTACCATAAGCCAGTAAAAAAAATAATAGTTTAAATGTGCTCAGAAACAGCACAGATACATCACAAACCAAGCACAGATTAAAACCAAATCTAGCACAGACCAAATATAAAACCATCACAAACCCAAAAGAGACTAAACACATACCCAGCACAGACTTAATCTAGAACTATCACAAACCCAGCACTGACCAAACACAGAACCATAACAAACCCAGCACAGACTTAACATAAAACCACCACAAACCCAACACTGACCAAACACAGAACCATAACAAACCCAGCACAGACTTAACATAAAACCACCACAAACCCAACACTGACCAAACACAGAACCATAACAAACCCAGCACAGACTTAACATAAAACCATCACTAACCCAGCACTGACTAAACACAAACTCATAACAAACCCAGCACAGACTTAACATAAAACCATCACTAAACCAGCACAGACTAAACACAGAACCATAAGACACCCAGCACAGACTTAACATAAAACCTTCACTAACCCATCACAGAACCATAACAAACCAAGTACAGGCTTAACATAAAGCCATCACTAACCCAGCACTGACTTAACATGAAACCATCACTAACCCAGTCCTGACTAAACACAGAACCATAACAAACCCAGCACAAACTTTACATAAAGCCATCACTAACCCAGCACTGACTAAACATATAAATATCACAAACCCAGTACAGACTAAACATTAAAATACCACAAACCTATCACATACTCAACACAGAACCATCACAGAGTTAGCTAAGACCCAATACAAACCGAACACAGAACAACAGCAGTCAGACACAAATTCAGCACAGACCCAACAAAAATCCAAAGTAGACTAAACACAGACCTTACCCAAATCAAAATGTGGGTCCAAAAGTGCAATTGTTATGTTTGTTTGTAGGAACTATTGACGTGTTGTGAGGAGGGTAAAGGAGAAATTAAAGATGGCCTGGAGGTTATGCTTAGTGTGCCCAAAAAAGCTAATGATGCTATGCACCTCAGCATGCTGGAGGGTGAGTAATACAGCTTACTAAACCAAACCCAATGATTCTTCTTTAATCTCGTATCGTTGTTCAACCTCTCTTTCCTTTTTGCTCTCTCTCACTCTCTGCTTCATGTCCTCTCAGGTTTTGATGAGAACATTGAGTCTCAGGGTGAGTTGATTCTGCAGGAGTCATTCCAGGTTTGGGATCCAAAGACTCTGATTCGTAAGGGCAGAGAGCGGCACCTCTTCCTCTTTGAGATGTCTCTCATCTTCAGCAAGGACGTCAAAGACTCCAACGGCAGGAGCAAGTACCTCTACAAGAGCAAGCTCATGGTATGGGTTTTACTTGTAAAGCTGTTTAAATAAATTATCGGGTCATGGATGGCCATACTTTATAATAGACTGAAGTATTTCATGTTTGATCTATGCGTTTTTACTCTGCCTAGACCTCACAACTAGGAGTTACTGAACATGTGGAAGGAGATCCATGTAAATTTGCACTCTGGCTTGGACGGACACCTACCTCAGACAACAAAATAGTCCTAAAGGTATGATTCAAGTTCCAAATTGATACTTCGTCCAAGGTTTTGGTTTCAGTACAGCTGTCACTTATTTTTGGCTTCTAATAAATGTTTTCTTTGCTTTCAAGTTTATTTCTATCCAAACATTGCTAACTGACTCAGCATACAAGCATGTTTCATTACTGAAAAGTTGTCCCTTATCTCAAATTAAATAGATCTTTCCATTAGTCTTTGTTATAAAAAAAAAAGTATCATTCATCTGAGGATCCTTGAAATATACCACATGAGTGGATATGTTTTCAGGTTTTGAATGTTCAAGTACTGTGGCTCTGGCTTGAGTCATTTCATTGTATAAAATTATTTGCTAAGACTTGTAAGCACTTATGTAACTTGTGTCTCTGAATGGTTGCCCTTCATCACTGAAGACGTAATTGAATCATGTAATGAATCATATGCCATTCCATGTGTTCTCACATGTATATACGTAGACAGACACATGGATGCAAAATGGGCTTACAGTTATTAAACATTGTTTCCACCTATTTTACTTCTGTAATCTGATGAATTTCCAAGTGAAAAGTAGGATGGGAATTGATTTTATCCTTTGAGAATTGATTTAGTTTCTTTGACAGGTGGTTGGAGGCTAGGGACCTTAAAGGAAAGTACATTAAGAAGCAGGGCAATTTATTATATTTTGATAAAAGATTAGAAAAACTTTTTTTTTTGAAGAATGTGCATTATAAGACCAGGAACACATTAAGTAGGTAAACAGTGTTTGACTTCATTTGAACTCTGATTGCATGTTATCATTATTTTTGCAACAGATTTGTAGGCTTTGACAATTCCAATTACTATTTATATCTGTTGTGTAAAAGGTTCATTAATGTTTTGTTGTGTTCAATGCACCCCCAGGCTTCATGTATCGAAAACAAACAGGACTGGATTAAACATGTACGCGAAGTTATCCAGGAGCGTACCATTCTTTTAAGGGGGGCACTCAAAGAGCCAATCCACATTCCCAAAGCCACTGCAACCAAACACAAGGGCAAACGGTACGTTAACAACTCGCATTAATCCAACTCAATAATCATGTATGGGTCTCTGAATCTCAGAATATGTTAACATGGAAGAAACAAATTTTATGCATATCAGTATCTTGTTTTTGACATCGACTGTCTAACTGTCTAACTTTTTCTTGGTCAGTTTGCACTTTTGAATGATATGTATTATATTGACTAACAGGGATGGAGAGGACCTAGACAGTCAGGGTGATGCAAGCAGTCAGCCAGACACCATCTCCATCGCCTCCCGCACCTCCCAGAACACACTGGATAGCGACAAGGTGAGTGTAAAAATCTGTCAACCTTAGTCTAAAAGTGCCATGCTACACCCGGTGTTCAGTTCTGGTGTTTTGGTGGCATGTTTAAGCCTGCAGCATTTTAAGACAATGAAAATTGTTTAATGTCTGTACTGAATGTTTTAGCCTCACTCTAAAATATTTTTTTTTTATACCAAGATTTAAAATGTAGTTTAAAAAACCCTTTGCGCCATCACATTCAAAGACCACTGTAATGAAACTTGTAATAGTATGATCTAAAATCAAGTTCTTAAAGGGATAGTTCACCCAAAAATAAAAATTCTGCCGCAATGTAAACCCATAAGACTTCCCATTCATCTTCATAACACAAATTAAGATATTTTTAATATTCTCTCATATTCTCAAAATCTTCACACAGTAAGTACAAAACAATTGTAAATAAAAAACACCTGGAAGCTCAAAAATACTTGCTTGATTGGTTTGTTCTCACGTGTCAAGTAAGCATTGTTGCTCTTCTGTGTTTACCGTATTTGATGAGCTCTATGTATGTGCAAGGAAGACTTTGACTGCATTTTTTGGGGGGTAAGCGATTTTAGCGCTCATAGAGCACTATGGACATTTGCAATGCCGATAAAGTTTATTAAATCTTCACCAAAACTGGTTCTAATCATCTTCAGTCCAATCTTCACAAAACAAAGTAAATGGATTTCTGATGTTGAAAACTTTGAATGCGCTAGTGACTAACTAGAAGTACTATTTATCTGTACTAGTTATCTTTACTGCAATATCCTGGTGAAACATTACAAGTAGAAATACGTATAGCCTTTAAACAGCATATCCTACAATCTCCCGCGAGGATTCTATGACTAAACAAGTTTACATGCCATGTTTATGTCATCTGTGTGGTTGGCCCCATTATTGCTGCTTGAAGCTGTATTCCATAATTGGCATTTCATATCAGATGGATGAGCATTCATTTGAAGTAGTTCATGGTTGCATCTTGTTCTGATCCAAAGATTTAAAGAACAGAATCTTGTTCGCTCCCCTAAATTTACACTCTTCTTTAGAGATAATACTGAGCTGCTGGAAAATCATTGAAATGTACCTGAGCAAAAAAACATTTGCTTCATTCATCTCTGTCAAGGCTACCTCAGACAAAAGGCTGCGCCACACCGACTTGTGTCCAAGAAACAGGCTAAACCTACAATAAAACTGATTTTAATTATGAATCAAATCTTAAAGAACAGCTGATTCCAGGCATTAGGTTTTAGAGACAAGGGTCACATATGGGTGAATCTTCAAATAGGGCCACTTTCACGACGTAAAATCTTGACAGATGATTTTGGTATAATGTTTGATGGTGGGGATTTTTAATTTGAATGAATGAATGTTTAAAACAATCTCAAATTTGAACCTGTGCGATAACACTTTAACAGTAATAAAGCTACTCATTATCATAAACTTAAAATTAATTGCATCTCTGTCACTATGCAGTTGTGGCAAGAATGACTCATCAGTAGTGAGGTGATAATGAGGGGACATTATTGGGGACATTTTTTGTCAAGTTGTTCGTCAAGTGACATTTATTTATAAAGCGCTTTATGCAATACAGACAGTGGTATGAGTGGTAATGTTGTAAAATTCATAAACTATAAAAACTCAAATTTCAGCTGTAAAGCAACTCTACAGAAGACAATAGTGCCATTATTCAGCTCAATTTATTGCAATGCTGTTTAGTTCAACAGTGTCAATGTTGATTATGAAGTTCAGTTCAGAGGCAATTACTGTTATATAAATCAGTGTCATATAAATTAACTTCATTAACATTTTTGTGAAATTATTATAGGGATGAATGTTAAAAATTTGCAAATAAAGTAAAGTTGTAAAAGTCTTTATAATCTCTTATTTAGATGATTTAGGGTGTTTATTAGAAGCTTTGGTAACACTTTCTATGAAGCCCGTATTTTAATATGTTATAAGAGTATTCTTAAGGCATTATAATGAATGCATAATGTATAATAAAAAACCTTATAATATGTTGTATCATCTCATGAGTAATCATAACAACAGTTTTAATGCATTATAATATTTACTTATTTGTGGTTATAGCTTTTAAGATTATGATGATTTATAATGCAATGAACACAATGCATCCTCTTAACTTACAATAGATTATGTTTCCCATAGTTATAATGTATTATTAGTCTCATATCTTGCCATTGGCAACTTACTTTACTTAAAGCAGACGAAGACCACTTATAGATAACAACAACAACAATATTAATAAAAATAAAAATCATATTTTTCTTAAACAGCCATATCCATCTCAAGATATGAGACTTATAATCCATTATAAATTAAGTGGATTTAACATGGTGTTTATTGCGTGTTATAAATAATCATACTCATAAAAGCTATAACTGCAAATAAGTAAGTTTTACAATGTATTATAATTGTTGTTATGATTATTAATGAGATGAAACAACATGTTTTATGCATTCATTATAATGCCTTAAGAATACCCTTATAATGTGTTTTAAAAATGGGCTTCATAGAAAGTGAAAAAGTGTTACTAAAATTTTTTATGTATACAAACATTTTAGGAAACAGAAAATTTCTCTTAATTGAAGAATCATCCATCCAAGAAGTTTGTGCACAGTGGCGTCCAGTAGTTCCGACGTTCCATTGACCTGATTACCAACAGACTTAATGAAGATTCCTCATTGGGGAACGTTTGTTGCTTCGGTTGCTTTGGATTTAGCAGCACAGATGCTTGTCTTCCCACTCCCAGTCAGAGCTCTCCTCTCACACGCCTTCACACATGTGCGTGTTTTTGTCACCGAAATGTATTGCAAGCCTCCTACAGCAGCACACGTTACTTGCTGATACTCTCCATACTCTCATACACACTTGGACACACCATCTTTATCTTTCTGCCTCCACTTCCATGTCGGTCTCTTCCCTGTCTTGTTGTGACATACACGAACACGTAAAGAGTATCTCGCTCTCACTAAATTCACTCATGTACCCTGACGACCCCTCACAATGACTCACTGTTTTTATCTTAACGCACACAGAGCCCTCTCAGTTCACGGTGAGGTGAAAAGGTGAAGCTCTCAGAAGCAGACGAGTTATTGCACGTCACTTCTAATGAGCATTAATTTGCCTCCTGCTCCTTTAAATCTTGGCACATTGTGTCCGTCTCTGCCTCCTCTCCCTTCCTCCTGCCAGGCGTCACTCCTTCAGACTGATTCCATCTCTGTGGCAATGCGAGGATGTGTCAGCTGCCACTTTACCTCACTGGAGTTCTGAATGCTTGAACGTGAACTGTAGAGGAGATTCATTTTGATAAGACAAGAGGAAAGCAATTTCAGCGCTCTGTCTTCCAGATTGAAGGATATGGCATTGTCGGAAATGTTTTTTTGTTTGTTTTTTTGACCCAGACCATCATTCCATGTGATATTTACTGAGTAAGGACGTATCAGGGGGTGTTGTTTTGGTAGAAACATGGCGTGTAAAGATTCAGGGTCAGTGGCTCACCTTTTGAGCTCGTTGGCAATGCCACATTACCAGTGGGTACGTTCGGGCTGACTTTAGACGTGTTTCTTTTTTTTAATTAGCTCATTTTTGTTGTCTTTATCAAAGATATTTTTTAATGTGACTTTTATGCCTTCCTTCACAGTTGTCTAGTGGCTCAGAGTTGACGGTGGTCATCCACGACTTCATGGCCAGTAATGGATCGGAGTTGACTGTACGCAGAGGTCAGACGGTGGAGCTGGTAGAAAGGCCCCAAGACAAGCCCGACTGGTGTCTGGTTCGCACCACTGACCGTTCACCTGCCCAGGAGGGCCTGGTTCCCAGCTCTATGCTTTGCATCGCCCATTCCCGAAGTAGTATGGAGATGGAGGGCATTTTCAACCATAAAGGTAAGATAGAGAGTTTCTTGTTTCCTGCAGATTGGGTTGGGTTAGATTTGTTTTGGACTGGATGTACTTAAAAGTTTAGGCTTTTTGAATGTTTATGCTGGTCCTTCTTAGATATGGGGTCAGATCAAGATGGGTCCAGGATTTAGAATGGTGTTTATTTAGGTTTACACTTCACAGAGACTGCACAACTTGTATTTGTCAGTGTGTTGAGTTTGTGAGGTCCTTAAAATCTGGAATAGCGTTTGATGTTCCTCTCCAGTCATGGGAAGAGCTTCTGTGTAAATGCTTGAGGGATTACTCAAAGACACGCCTACACACTCGTCTGGGGTTTCCGGCTGGTCCTTTGTGTAAGACTTATTAGGTAACCACCTTTGACTTGATAAGGATTTCAGCTTTTTAATGGATCTGTTTTGGTAGCATTTTAAAAATCTAATTTACCTCATGGATTGGTTTTTAATTATATTAATTCAAAAAAATATTATGGATACAGACTTCTAGCTGTGTGCAAGCCTAAACATAAAATACACAAACCAACATTAAATCGGATTATCCTAATGTGGTTGCCAGATATTGTGTGTTTTCGTTCAGGTGGGATGAATGAAAGCTGTGTACAGGTGTGTGTATCTGCTCTTGACTCACCCTGAACCCAAATAAAATTTTAGTTGCAGTCCAGCTTTGCTCTTGATTGTTAGGGTTGAAGTGTGTTAAGCATGCAGTAACCATGGTGATGGGCTGTGTCAGGTGATGAACAGGGTTGCCAGGCTGCAGGGGATTTCCCTGCTAAGACCGCATCCATGTACACAGGACAGTTAATGTGATTTTGGTCATGCGATTCAAATCAGCCATTTTGTAAACAATAATACATATACTACCAAAAGTTTGGGGTCAGCATTTCTTTTTGAAAGAAATTAGTACTTTTATTATTTATTATTTATTATTATTTTAAAGTTATTTTAAATTGTAATATTATTTCACGATATTGCCGTTTTTGCTGTATTTATTATCAAATAAAAGAATCAAATAAATGTATTATAAAAATAAATGTAGTACATTGTATGTCATTTATTATCATAATAAAATACTTTTGAATAGGGGTGTAACGGTTCACAAAATTCACGGTTCGGTTCGATACGACACAGCGGTTCCGGCTGGTCCTTTGTGTAAGACTTATTAGGTAACCACCTTTGACTTGATAAGGATTTCAGCTTTTTAATGGATCTGTTTTGGTAGCATTTTAAAAATCTAATTTACCTCATGGATTGGTTTTTAATTATATTAATTCAAAAAAATATTATGGATACAGACTTCTAGCTGTGTGCAAGCCTAAACATAAAATACACAAACCATATACATACTACTATATATATACATACTAGGGGTGTAACGGTTTGGTTAACGGTTTCACAAAATTCGCGGTTCGGTTCGATACGACACAGCGGTGTCACGGTTCGGTACGTTTTCGATACAGCAAAAACAAAGAAATGCCAGTGAAATTTCCTTGATTTTTACAGTTTTTTTATTTATTAAAACTAACATAAAGTATGATCTTAAAAATGTGGAAGGCCTTTTGACCTTTGCCGTTTATCTAGACATAATTACTGATTATAATGACTTATACTGTCTTTTTACGCGTTGCATCGCGCTGCTTAAAAAAAAAACGTCTGCATTTGTGATCGGAGAAATGACAAACTACAAGCGCTAGTCTACACTGTTCAAATCGTCAGCTTTAAATATGAAAACGTAACGTTACTTACAGTCTGTGAGTCACAACAGCCGGCATTGTAGTCTACTCTACCAGGATCAGGAAACGTCCTCCATAAAATGTGCTGCACACATCTGAATATTTGGGTTGAAGTGTTCTGTAACAGTGTTGTAAATACAACTTAACCACTGATTTCTAGTTGTGTCCTCTTTTGGAAGGCCAAACTAAGTAGTTTCGCTTTCACAACGAAACACACAGCGTCACACACGGTGGGCTTGAGTGAGGAGCGGCCGGTGGGCTTGCGGCAACCACATGTGACGACCCCGGGCTGGACTCCGCTTCATCCACGGTGAAAGCCGATCTGGCGATCCACAGCTTGATGTATTTCCGCAGCGACCAGCACAGATCAGCTCTAGGCATGACGATGTGGATATCGTCCTCTTTTGGAAGGCCAAACAAAGTAGTTTCACTTTCACAACGAAACACACAGCGTCTTCACGACATGGCGGCAGCAACAATACTACAGCGAGAATAAAAGTTACGCCTTCTTTCTTTGCGTGAACATTATGCAAATCTTCCCACATCGTGATGTAGATATGTGGGGGCATGTTAGAACGAGCCGTTTTAGGTAGGCGTGGTTAACTCTTAGCTTTTATAAAGAATATCTCTTTGGATTTGAGACTTTAGTCTTTGCAACTTTACAGATCTTCTTTATGCACCAAGAGCTTGTAACACTCCAAAGAGAAAGAAAAAATTGAAATCGCATCATATGACCCCTTTAAACTTTGTGTAAGTTATTTGTTATTTTATATTAGGCCTATAGCATTGTGTATTTGTATTCGTTTGGTTAATAAATTAAACATTCTATGTTTAATGTGAGTTTGTCGTACTGTTTTGTTGTTGTCCATTTAATCAATTGATGCCGAATTGACACTAATTAAAAGTGAAAGTAAAATGCGCACAGGCATTTACAAGCCATTTAAAAGTGAATAAAATAAAACTATAATGAACTACCTCACCGTCACAACCTGGAGTACATTATATTTCACACACTTTAAGCTCTTTTATTTTCCAAATGTAATAGGATTACTCCAACGAATCGCTCGGTTTGTAATGCGTACCGAACCGAAAGCCTCGTACCGAAAGGTTCAATACGAATACGTGTATCGTTACACCCCTACTTTTGAAGCATGTGTAACAATTGTAATGTGACCTATTTCAGAAAGAAGATGATTATTTGGCAGAAAATAATTTAGACAAGATTTGATTTTATCTGTTGAGAGATAGCTGGATGGTTGGCTGTTAAATGTTTTTATTATTTTATTTTATTTTATTTACATGTGACTTTGGTTATAGCGCAACGGTAGAAACAGTGGAAAGGTTGTTTTTCTATTACAATATTCTGTCTACAAAAATGTATAGTAAAAATATTCTATACTAAAAATGTATATGGTCCATTTTAATTTCATATTGTATTTAAAGTTGTAATGATATTCTAGGACTGAAATACAGTTTTGTGTATGAAAACATCTAGGATGCGTCAGCATAAATTCATTTAGGAACTTTCTTATTGTTAACATGTATTTGAGGATTTAATTTGGCTGTAGTAAGTTCTAGTACTACATTAGTCCACCAGTTCCTCATTATCAAAGGTGTGTAACTTGGAATTCATGGTGGTTAGTCGCTGCTTTTGAAAACGCTGAATGGACCATGATTTGTGACAAAGACATGATTACAAAGGAAAAGCATGTGGTAAATCTAAGAGCGTCACCAGGCAAAGATTTTTGAGGTCACCCACACAAGGATGACTGGGCAGCATCTGAGAGAAAATCATTAGTGTGTGCAGGGTGTGGTGTTCAGTTTGGGGAATTCTGGGAAGTTACTGAAACTTATTTTTAACTCATGATGTAGTTAGAAAATGTTAGAAAATATTGTCCTAAAAGGTATCTGCTGTAGCCTATCTGTTTGTCTGTCTGTCTATTAAAGAGATAATCAATGAAAAGCTTGTAAAGTAATATAACAGTCATATTTTTTTTTTTTTTATGGACTGATATACTATAAAATGTAAATGTAATGAGAATCTGGTCTAAAATGTGTGGACAAGATGAAATACAAAATGTCATGAAAAAAAGTTTTTATGGTCATAGCAATAGGTTTACTTCTCTATATGCAAATTATATGCAATATGACCTGCTTATAGTCTTTGAGATTTTCCGCAAATTAGAAAACTAGTAAATAATCTGAAACTGTCTAATTGTGAGAAGACTTGTAACTCTGGCTCTTTCAGAATCACATCGTTCATATTAAAGAATTGTAGGTTCACATAAAAGAATCTAAAATATCTGTAACAGCATTATTTTTTGAGATTTTAATAATCTAATTGGGTGAATCTCGCATAGCCAACCTGTCAAGACTCCTATCATATTGCCCCCAAGATCATGTGAAACTTGGAAAACCACAGGGAATTTTAAAAATGTGTTTTCCTGGGAAAGTCATTGAAATATATAAATACAAAAAAGAATAATTTACAGTGACGTAGGAAATACATAATTTTCCACATACTGTACATTATTGTTTCTCCTCTATGCCCCGCCTTTCTGAAACGCGTTGATTTTTACAAAGCTCATCGGTCTG